TATCCTGAAAATTACCTCCAGCGATGATCACAAAACTATGCTTCTTCACAGCAGTGGATACCAGGTTGGGTTCAGAATGCTGACAAGGGTGGAAATCCCAAAGGGCCACCAAGCTCCTGGACAGCAAAGCTTGGCCAGGTACATCTTCACTACAATACTGAAATATGCAGTCAATTAACAAGATCCCTGTCCTCGCAACCTTCTCCAGCCCCACAACCCTCCGAAATATCAATGCTCTCATTCTGATCCATGTCTCTCCATCAGTGATGGCTGTGTCCTCAATCAATGATCAAGGCTATTGTTAGACAGCAATGAGGCCCAGATTTTACGTACAGAGTGCAGCCCATCCCAGAGCCAGGAAGGCGAAGGCAAAACCACCTCCAATTGACTGGGTCACTCCATAGCAACTGGAGGTTCATTAATTTACCTCAGGGTGGGGCCTCTGACCATATTTGGAAGGAAAAGCCACCCGTTGGTCAACCAGATGGCTGGCAGCTCTCCTGTCCCAATAGCGCCACTGGGAGTGGTGGCTACTGCTGGGACTGCAAGTCAGTCTATCAGAGCTGCTCAAATACCAGTGGAGGTCAGTCAGTGACGAACAAAGTGCACCCCACTCCAAACACTCTGCCATCCTATCCAAATTGACATCACCCCCTACCCAGTGCACTCCTGGCAGAGAGGGGAGGGTGTGTGAAATCCCACTCCAAAACCATGCCCTGCTCCCACACTGGTATAGGAGCACCAACAATCATGAAAGCTCCTCTGCCCTCTCATCTCTAGAGTAGTCATTGCTAGCACAGAAAGAGGCCATTCAACCCAACTGGTTGGAGAAAGGATAGAAAGGCAAAAGGAAGAGAAATTCAGAATGAGGCCAAACCACTATACAGCAGGGATAAGATAAACAGGATTCAGAGTACAAGAAAGGACAAGACCAGAGAACCCTGGATGTCAAGGGCCAAAATGGTTATGATTAAGAAGAAAAAAGATTACGGCAGATGCTGACAGTTCAATACAACAGAGTTTAGGCTTTAGTGTGCAAGGTTGGGGGGATGGGGGAAGATTCTTAAATTGCATTCAGGAGAACATTTTTACCCTTTATGTAGAAAGCCCAACAAGGGAAGGGGCAGTTCTGGATCTAAGGTTTGGAAATCAGCATGGACAGGTGGAAAGCATTTCAGCAGGGGAACAATTTGGAGACAGTGAGCATAATTCAGTCAGAGTTAGGATAATTATCAATAAGGATGGGCCAGGAATGAAAGTTTGAATCTGGGGAAAGGTTAATTTTACTAACACAAGATACAATTTGGCTCAAATGGACTGGGAGCTGGTACTTGTTGGTAAAACTATCAGATCAGTGGGAGACATTCAAGGAGGAAACAGCAAGAGTACAGAGCACATATGTCCCTGTGGAGGACTGTGAAATATTAGAAATTAACACAGAGAGAGGGAAAGTATAAGCTGGTGTAGCAGCCTTAAGCTCTGGAGATCTGGATGAGATGCATCCCAGGCTGTTGAGGGAGGCAAGAAGGAGGTATCAGAAACCGTGGTAGTAATTTTCTACAGGAAGATATCAAAGGAGCGGTCAGAGCAGTATTAAATAGAATTCAACGCAGAAGGGATTGCGGGGTTTGAGCTATGGGGAGAGGCTGAATAGGCTGGGGCTCTTTTCCCTGGAGTGTCAGAGGCTGAGGGGTGACGTTATAGAGGTTTATAAAATCATGAGGGGCATGGATAGGGTGAATACTAAGGTGTCCTTCCTCGGGTGGGTGAGTCCAAAACTACAGGGCATAAGTTTAAGTTGACAGCGAAAACAACATTTAGAAAGCAACTAGATGGGTATATGAATAGAAAGGGTTTAGAGGGATATGGACCAGATATAGGTCAGATTGGGATGTCTGGTCTACGCGGATGAGTTGGACCGAAGGGTCTGTTTCTATGTTGTATAACATATGAGGAACATTTGAGGACTCTGGGACTATACTCATTGGATTTTAGAAGGATGAGGGGGGAATCTAATTGAAAACTTTCAGAATATTGAATGGCCTGGATAAAATGGATGTTGGGAAGATGCTTCCATTGGTAGGAGAGTCTAGGACACGAGGGCACAGCCTTAGAGTAAAGAGAAGACCTTTTAGAACGGAGATAAGGAGAAACTTCTTCAGCCAGAGAGTGGTGAATCTATGGAATTCACTGCCACAACAGGCTGTGGAGGCCAGGTCATTGAGTACATTTAAGACTGAGATAGATAGGTTCTTGATTATCAAGGGGTTCAAGGGTTACGGGGAGAAAGCAGGAGAATGGGGTTGAGGAACTTATCAGCCATGTTTGAATGGCGGAGCAGAATTGATGGGCTGAATGGCCTAACTTCTGCTCCTATGTCTTATGGTCTTAACTCTATGACTCTAAGAGTATGAGATAAGACACTTGTGGAAGGCTAACAAGACCAGGATGGTAGGACTTTGGAAAATACTGAAATCAGAGGGACCTTGGTGTGCATATCCACAGATTGGTGAAGGCAGCGAGGCAGCTAGATAGAATGGTTGAAAAGACAAATGGAACACTTGTCTTTATTAGCTGAGGCATTGCTTAGAAGAACAGGAAAGTTCTGCTGGAACTGTATAAAGCACTGGTTAGGCCATAACTGGAGTACCATGTAGTTCTCGTCACCAGATTACAGGGAGGATGTGATTGCACTAGAGAAGGAGCAGAGGGGATTTACCAGGATGCGGTCTGGACTGGAGAGACTGTGATTTGAGGAAAGATTGGAAAGGCTGGAGTTGCTTGAGCAGCAAAGGTTGAGAGGGGACCTGATAGAGGTGAGTTAGATTATGAGGGGCATAGATAGGGTGGACAGGGAGGCATTTTTTCCATTAGTCAGGGGTTAATAAGCAGGGACCAATGAGATAAAGAGAGATAGAAAGCTAAGAGAAGATTTGAGGAGAAATGTTTTCACCGAGGGAGTGGCGGGAGCCTGTAACTCATTATCTGAAAAGTGTAATTGATTCAGAATATCTTGTAATATTTAAGTAGTGTTTAGATACATTGTCATAGGCTTCAGTGGTGCCGACCAAAAGCTGGAAAATAAGATCACTGCAGTCAGATCTATGTTGACCAATGCAGAAACAATGGGCCGAATGGCCTCCTTCTGTACTTCAAAATGTCTGTGAGTCAGTGAACCCTTACCTGTACTGGCTCTTACAGAATGGGATCCTTATACAAAAGAAACTTTCCTCTTGCAGTCTGTAGGCAGTGGTGTTGAGCAGATGAGCATAGCATCAACAAGCCTTGGTTAATGCATCTATAGTTATTGTGTCTTTCAGGCTAATCTCAGCATGAATCATCTCTCCTGATGAGAGCAGTCTCAGGGGGACATTTGTGGAGCAGTGGTAGTCTCTCTACCTCAGAGCCAGGAGGCCCAGGTTCAAGTCCCATCTCCTCCAGGGATGTATCACAACACCTCTGAGCTTTTGATTTATGGTGATTTTAACTTTTCAATCTCACCAATTGTTTTAACATGTAGTGACTAAAAGATTTCCTTATTATCTTGATGAAGGATTGATTCCATTGTCTTCTTCTTGAACTTCTGTCAATCAATCACCTCACTGAGATCCAAAAGCAGACTGAGAATATACACCAATGATCTTTAGGGAGCAATGGCCTAGTGGTATTATCACTGAACTGTTAATCCAAAGACCCAGATAACTGGGGACCCAGGTTTGAAACCTGCAATGTCAGATGGTGGAATTTGAATTCAATAAATATCTGGAATTAAGAATCTAATGATGACTGTGTATCCATTGTCGATTGTCAGAAAAACCTATCTGGTTCACTAATGTCCTTTAGGGAAGGAAACTGCCATCCTTATCTGGTCTGGTCTACGTGTGACTCCAGACCCACAGCAATGTGGTTGACTCTGAACTGTCCTCTAGACAATTAGGGATGGGCAATAAGTGCTGCCTAGCCAGTGATGCCCTCATCCCATGATGAATAAAGAAAATCTGCCGTCCTTACCCAGTCTGGCCAACACATGACTCCAGGCCCACTGCAACTCGTAGCTGCCCTCTGAAATGAACTGCCTAGCAAGCTGCTTAGTTCAAGGGCAATTAATGATGGGCAACAAAATGCAAGATGCCCATCACACCAAATCCATCTCAACTGACCAGGACTGTGGACTGGGACACTGGTCTCTCCCTCCTTGAATCGTACGGACCCGACCCTGCACAATTAATTGGATCATAGCTGGATCATATTGAAATAAAACAACACTCCTGACAGAGGTCTGTTTACTAAACTAAGGGAAGATTTCACATTAATTGCCACATTGTCTGCATATAGAAATAACAAACAACATTATTTAGATAATTAAATGATATTTGGCAAACGACCAGGGTCAACATTTCTAGATGCACGCTATTCCCTGAAGAAAATGAAATAATAATATATTTTCCGTTGACTCCTGCCTGTTAATTAACCTGCAAAGTACTTCATCTCTCCCTTTCAAAGACCTGCATTAATATACGAGCATGCCAATGATTTAAGAAGTCTGCTGTGGCTCCTGAGAGGGTTACCAAGTGTAATTTTGGATGATTTACAAGAATTTGGGTTCAAGCACAGACCAGCGTGATGTACACAGGCCCTCTCAAATTTGCTGGCTTGGCTGGTCAGTGACAAGGCACCAAGGGGGTCAGATCAGTTCTTACTTTCTCTAAGGGGGTTGGAGGTAGGATTTACCATAACGACAACAATGAGGGGGGACTGCAGTCACAGGGAATGGAGAGACAGCACAGTCTGAGCTTGAGCTGTTTGGTGCAGAATAGGTTCAGCGGAGATTTGAAAGTGACAGGTCAAGGTAACATGTAGCTGGAGAATTAGAGGGACACAAATTTTAAGACAATTGGCATAAGACATATTAGGGGAAGAGTTGTGACCTGGACTGTCCTGCCTGGGGGGATTTGTCAGCCTGCATTGTCTCCTTTTATTAAACAACACCCATGATGTACCTTCTCCAGCAGCTGTCGGAGTTGCTTACTGCGTGCATCCCGCGAGCACATACTCCGCTGGGCCACTACTGCACAGACGCACTTCCCATCTGGATCCTGGGCGGAACTGTAGATTTCCCAGCCTTCCTCGGGACTTGGGAAAAGAGTCTGCAGAGGTTGAGAGAAAATGAATAAGGTGTCAGCAGCCGGAGGCAAAATCGGAATGAGCACAGTCATGAGCAGTTCAAAAAAGTGACCGTGAGGCTGAGGTGTCACCCAATCCCATCCCAAATACCTGCCAACTTGGCTCACTGTAGTGTGGGTTCAAGATCTACATACAGTCTGCTGTGGCTTACCTCTGTGTTCAAGTCTCACGGACACCTCAGTTGAGGAGAAATGGCTTCATCCAGAGAGTCGTGAGCCTGTGGAATGCTCTCCCACAGAAAGTGGTTGAGGCCAAAACATGAAATGTTTTCAAAAAGGAGTTAGGTATATTTCTTGAGGGATCAAAGGGAATGGGGAGAGAGTGGGAACAGGGGACTGAGTCGGATAATCAGCCATGATCCTATTGAATGGCGGAGCAGTACTGAAGGGCCGAATAGCCTGCTCCTGTACCTTTTCTCCTATGTTTAAGCGCATAGTTGAGGCTGAGCTTCCCAATGGAGTGTTGCGCCTCTCTTAGAAGCTCTGTCTTTCAGATGAGATGTTACACCAGCAACTTTTCTACTCACTAAACCCAACAATGAACCAGCCAATTCTTTACAGGGACCTGGCCAATGTTTATCCTCAATCAACATTAAAACAGATGATTCTGTCGTCCTTACAGTTTCTGTTTGTCTGAGCTTACAAAACCAGATTTCCTACATTCGAACAGTCCCTACAGACTGAAAGTAATTCAATGTCTGTGAAGCACTTTGGGAATGCCTGAGATCAGTTGAGGCACTATATAAATGCAGAAACTTCCCTTCTGAATGTCACAATATTGAAATAAAGTACAGTCAACCTGCAAAAGGACTTTTAACCCTAGGATGAGGCATAAATGTACAAACTTTGTAGTCACAGGTTTGATAATGGAATCACTAATTAGCAGTCTGTGGATCTGGTTGGAGTTAGTAAGTGAAACCATCAACTTGGGACCACTGATTTGCCAAGAGACATGGTCAGGTTTTCTCTGCTTTCCTTGTCTTTCACCCTCTGCGCATACACCTCGTGATCTGCTTTCTCTCACCGTCTCTCAGCAACCGGAAGGCAAAAGACATGAAGGTGCCTATCGGGAAACTCTGACCCTAGAAAGCTGCTGTTTGAGACTTCACAAAATGTGCCCACAGCAAAACGCGCTTCGATAGATGTGTCAAATTCAACACAAAACATAATGGAAATGGTATAAGTACAATGGCACTGCTCTTTCAAGGGGGCATGTTACAAAAAATCTGTCCCTTTAACAGGAGGTGAATATATTAGCTCTATCCCATTAAAGGAAGCATAAGACATTAATGTTACTCCTTTAGAATAAGACAGCAGCAACATCCTTAACAACAGCAACACCAAACTTGAGAGGAGACAAAATATGGTCCCATTAAAGGAGAGATATTATTCTCTTAGAGTAACAGAGATATACAGCATGGAGACAGACCCTTTGGTCCAACACATCCACGCCGATCAGATATCCTAAATTAATCTAGTCTCATTTGCCTTTATTTGACCCATATCCCTCTAAACTCTTCCTATTCATATACACACCCAGATGCCTTTTAAATGACATAATTATACTAGCCTCCACCAATTCCTCTGGCAGCTCATTCCAAATATGCACCACCCTCTGCGTGAAAAAATTGCCCCTTATGTCCCTGTTCAATCTTTCCCCTCTCACCTTAAACCTATGCCCTCTAATTTTGGAGACCCCAATCCGAGAAAAAATACCTTGGCTATTCACCCTATCCATGTCCATCATGATTTTATAAACCTCTATACCCCTCAGCCTTCGATGCTCCAAAGAAAATAGCCCCAGCTTATTCAGCCTCTCCCTATAGCTCAAAGCGTCCAACCCCAGCAACATCCTTGTAAATCTTTTCTGCACCCTTTCAAGTTTCACAACATGCTTCCTATAGCAGGGAGACTCAGGAAACGTTAAGTTGTTGCAGAATTACCAGAACTGCAATAGTACAGCAGCTTTTGTTCCTGTATTGGACACAGTTAGGTGCCATGAAGAAAACTGAAAGTATTTTCCACTTCCTTGAGTACATCATCTTAACCATCCAGCATTTTCCAAATGAGTCAGAGGTCAGTGAAAACAACAATTGGATTTGAAATTGATTTTTTTCTAAATAAGCAGTGTGAAGTCTGAGTTTTGTAAAGCATTCTTGTGAAGATCCTTTATCTGTTGGAATGTAAAGACTTCTAACAATTCACTTTTATTGAACAGTGGCCTTTCATTGTTCTAGCGCAACATAGCTTCTAGCCTCAATCTCACTGCAGTGCCTGTAAAACATGAGAATTGCCAGTACTGTTTCACACAGCAGACAGTCCCCTCAACTCTCAGAGAGTGAATTACCAACTGAGGAGCAGTTCTGTGACATAGGAGTTGGACTGAAGGTGGACCTCCACAGCTGGAAAGAGTCTGCAAACTGATGGACCATCTACTCTAGAATTCAATCGAATTTCAAAGGTGACTGTGCACTGAGTTCACCGACTGCATCACCCTCTCTTCCAGAGTTATATGAGGAAACATTTATTGTAAATGCAGTGAGTTGTGACCTGGAGCTTGTGTCTGCAAGGGTGGTAACAGATTCAATAGTAACTTCCAAAAGGGTAAAGGCTGAGATAAATTGGTTTTTAAACTCTCAGGGAATCAAAGGATATGAGCAGCAAAGCCTAAGATTAGTCATAATCATATTGAATAGCAGACCAGGTTTCTGTTTCTTATGTTTTTAATGGAACTAGATGAATGCTTCAAAGGGGGAAACTTTTAGGTCTCTGGAGAAAGAGCTAGGTAAAGTGAGATTAATTGGAAAGCTCTTTCTAAGAGCCAGTACAGGCACAATGGACTGCATGGTCTCCTTGATGACTTACATTTTTGATCTGCTCTTTGTGTTAGTCGTTTGCTTTCTGGTGTTGCAATCGACACACAATCCCCGATCTCCCAACGCTGTTAACAGGCTCTCCATTTGACTTGTGCAGCACAGCGGGGAGGCAAATTGCAAGAGATGTAAGCAGCTGGAGTGATGAAAACAGGAGAGAACCGGAACAGGAGAGAGAGGGCACTGCTTGTTATCTTCTGGTGCCGGACAGTTAATGAGCACAGAGAGTTTCTGTAGGTGTCAGTTTTACAGCCTAAGTCCATGTGTCACAAACCCATCAAGACTGTTAGTGACAACAGCTGGTCTATATTCAAACCTCTTGGCCTATCCTGAATCTTAATGAAAACCATTTTAGGCATGAATCACTGGATGGCACTCCTCACTCTGAGTCAGACGATGGTGGGTTCAAGTCCCATTCCAGAGGTTGGAGTACAAGATCTGAGCTGCTACTCTCAGTGCAGTACTGAGCTAGTGCTGCACTATCAGAGGTGCTATCTTTCAGATGTTAAGGGAGGATGTGAGGCATCATTTTGAAGGCAAGAGGAATAGATCTTCCCAGTATCTTATTTAATACATTCTTCAATATCATCAAACAATGGGTTAGTTCAACACTATCTGTGAGAGATTGCTGTGTGTATATTTAGATGCTGGGTCACTCAACTAGAAGCCTGTGACAAATTTAAAATAATGAATTCAGTGAATCAGAAATAAAGGCAAAATTCACCCGAGTCTTACTCCCTCATTAGCAAGAGATGTCTGGAGGTGGTTTAATCTGAGGATCACTATACTTCAGGCAAGGGGAGATGTTGAGAAGTAGAATCTTTCACAGTAATCTCAGCCTATGTGAAAATTGAACACATGCCGTTGATATCACTCTGCATTGCAAACAAGCTGTCCAACCAACCAAGCTAACCAATGCCCTACTACAAATATACAACTAAAGAATTTCCATAAAATCATCTGGTTCATTAATATCCTCTCAGGAAGGAAATCTACCGTCTTCTTCTGGTCTGGCCTACATGTGACTCTGGACTTACAGTTACATTATGGACTCATGACTGTCCTCTGAAACAGCCCCAGAGACACTCAATTGCTCTTGAGAAGGTGGCTCACCAGCTCCTTCCCAAAGCAATAAATATTAATCTTATCAGTGGCATGCACACCCTGTAATGGAAATTGGAAGTGTTTTTTTTTAACCTTGGAGATGCTGAAGCTCTATATTCAGTGGTACAGTACTGGGTTTAAAGTCTTACATTATATGGAAGGCAGTTTTGCTGATGAGTAGGACATAGTCAGAAGTCACATGACACCAGGTTATAGTTCAACAGGTTTATTTAAAATCACAAGCTTTCGAAGCACTGCTCCTTTGCCAGGTGAAGTGCAGGACATTGGGTTTGAAGCATGCCAGGGTCAAACAGAGTGCTAAGATTTTGTATGATCCAGCAATATGATCCAATGTTCAGTGAATAAATAGGGAGCTAAGATCTAGATGAGACATAAAGTGATAGATTTGTTCACTGTAACATCCAGTTAGAGGAAAGAACTCCACTGTATTATCAGTGTACAAACACTGTTCTCCCCTGTTCCCCAAGTCTACCAGTCCAACTGACTGAAACTCCCTCGATCTCGTTAACAAGGTTTAATGAATTTGAGTTACTGCAGTATGGTACAGGTAGCTGCTGTGTATAATGCAATCTACTCCTTTTAATTGCACCACTACATTCTTAATTACGGTCAGTGGTATCCACATCCCATGTATGAATAAATACAGAGAAAGTGGTGGTGGTGGGGGTGCTCCATAACCCAGTGGCATAATCTTATAATTAGATCTAGGTTGTTCTGTGGTAATTTCAGGAAGTATTTATTCACATAACTCTCCATCAAAGATCTGTAGCTTCCAGATAGAGGAGTGGGTATGTGGAAATATTCAAAATTGCGATCGATAGATCTCAATTGATTGATAGATTGATAGGGTTACAGAACCACAGCAGAGAAAAAGGATCCTTAACTATGAGGATATTATTAAGTTGGAGAGGATTCAGAAAAGATTTATCAGGATGTTGCCAGGAATGGAGGGTTTGAGTCATAAGG